ATAATATCTTGGTGAAAATGACACTGTTCACTTAGGAAAATATCCACCTTATGACTGTTTTGATGGGTAGTGCAATACTTGCCATATACAAATCTGGGCATATTGCAGGCAGCAAAAGGCTTGGGAGAGAAGGTCTCTTTCTGCCATCCCTTCTTCCTAGTGATTCAGGACAATTTTTTTTCTGTACAGAAGCTGGATAGGTCTGTGGAGGCAGCTTCTGCAGCTGAATTTCCTTCTCTGCAGAACTGGTAACCTCTATTCCTAAGTGTTGGTCACACCCATCCCTACTTTGTGAAGACCTTTCCCTCCCAATCTCCTACTGCAGCATGTATTTTAATGTGTCTGTCACCTCTTATCTCTGTGCCCATGCTACATCAGAAGGGTCTGGGTCACAAACAACAGCTTGTCTCTCTAGCACATGGTTTGGTACACACTGTGCTAGGCAGCAGAGGCAGTAATTTCCCTCTTCTCCTCTTTCCCAGTTCAAGGAGCGTCTTCTTCTCTTTCATATAACAGGCTTTGAGGCTGGAGAAGTCCATTGTAATGGAGAACAAGACACTGAGGAACGTTAAGGTAAAAGAACAGACTTTGCATTCTTCAGGGCTTAGCGTGTTCATGGTAATTAAATCTCGTAATAAAATGCATATATTTCAGCACTGCAAATCCATTCAAATAATTTAATAGTCCAGGCTTAAAATCTGCTCCTCTTCTCTCTACAGTTTTAAGAGGCTGGAGAAAAGCAAAAACAAAACAATTACTTTCTCATTTTTAGAAAAAAATTACAAGTAAGATGTTCCCAAGCTTGGAGTCTCTTTACTGTTTGTCTTAGTTAAAATCTAATGCTTAAATCAAAAGGAGTGGGTGGGAGAGAAAAGGGATTTAAACCATGTTCCCTCTAATTCTTCTACTTACTGAATAGATAAGCCTAAGTTGGTTAAGTTAAAAGTTTGAGCATTTTTAAAGACATCGATAACTTTACCGATCTTAATTAACATTTGTACAGCATTTTGAAAATGAATAGTTCTGTATAAGGACTTACTGTTGTTCTTAATGTTTTTTGTGACTAGCAGAACATCTAAGAGCTTAATACAATACACATGGGCTCAAACCCTGCAAAGACTTGCTACAAAAGTCCGTGGGACTGTATACAGTAGTGTGTGCTATGACTGATAGCGTTCATGAGCTCTAGGGCTCAACACTGCGAGAGTGACTGCCTCCTGGAAAGTGCTGCATATCTCCCAACAGGCCTTTTCTATACTCATTGCAAACCTGCTCATGTGTTAGCAAAATGCCAAACATTTAAACTCAGTTTAGGAACATGTGGTTGCCTCTGAAGGAGCAGATTTAGATGTTCTTGGGAGGTAGAATGAACTCTGAGTTGACAGAGAGCATCGGAAAGAAAACCTGCATAATTATCGATTTGAGGGATTTGCTTTCATTTTTCAAATACATGAAACATGTTGTTCGTAGGATGAAAATGGCCTGAAAAACAGAATTATCCGAGTGGGCACCAGGAAGAGTCAGGTGAGTTTCTGCTTATTGCATTAGCTTCAGTTCTGGTATGGCCACATTGCCAAGTATTCAATGGGGAAAATTATGACTAGAGACCCCATAGCTGCATTTCCTAAAAGTAGAAAATCTGGGTGGCTAATTTCAAATTTAATATGTACCTCAATTACTTATAGATAACTCAAATGAAGTCCAGCATCTGTCAGGATTCTTGTTCAGTAGGGAAGTGTTGTCTAGTGATTAGAGTGACGGATTGCCACTCAATATTTCCTTGTTCTGTTCCCATCTCTAGCACTGACTCACTATGTGCTTCTGGCAAGTCTCTTAGGGTTACATCTTCAAAAGTGGCCTCTAACCTTCGGTATCCAAACTTGTATACCTAACTACTGATTTTCAGAGGTGCTGAGTTGTCTTAACTGTAGTCACTAGGAGGTGCGGATGCAAATTAGGCTTCAGCTGCTTAAAGTTTAGGCACCCAAAGTGGTGATCCCTCTTGAAAATGTTGCTCTTTATTTATCTGTGCTGCCATTTTCTCACTGTAAAATGGGAACAATATGTAAATAGTTCACAGAAAGTCTGGGGTATTGAGGCTTCATTCTTTCACATTAGTAAAGCACTTTAAGGTCTTGGATTAAGCACAAAGTATTATTAGATGGAGATAAATGCACTTCTGTTTGCCAGAGAGTGACCTCTGAATTAGAAATAACTGTTCTGCCACCAGAGTTGCACTGTAACAGGCCTGCTTGTTGGCCTTGAAGGCCCTTAATTCGATGGGCTTGGGAGACTGAGTCCCTCCATGTCAGGGCTGAGGTGCGTTGTTAGAGCTTTGTGGGGAAAACTTGCCTTGGTGCCGGCTGGACTTGTGCATTCTGTAGCTGTCAGTTGGCACATTCCATCCGCACCAAGCCTGTGGAATAGATCGAGAGACAGGGAGGTTGCACTCCCTTGTCAATAGAATCCATTTGGGTTTCCATTTTGCTTATATCCTGCAACCAAGCAAAACTTAGGCTGCCTTGACCTTTACAAAGGGCTGGGAGGATATAGGAAATGGGTCTTTCTTGCTATCTAGCTGCAGCTGGGAGGAGCAAGTTTGCAAAGAGAGATAAATGTGCCTTGGCCCTTTGTTTTGAGATAATCTCGCCTATTCTGCAAGTCAGGCACAGGCATGACTCTGTATGTGGGAGGCTAGAAGATGAGACAAATGGACATTGAAGGGTGGGAGGTTATTTTTCTGCATCTTCAGTTGTTGTTAAGAATGATCATTATCCACACATTGCATTTACAGATTATGCCTTTCACCCAGAATCTCACGGCACATGTGGAAACCTATGGCTTGCCTAGGGCCACTTAGAGCATCACAGCACAGAAAGATTAGAAACAAGGCTTTCTGGTTCGTCTTCAGCTGTGACTACTAGACTTCATTGCCTTTCACAAGGCTAGAATCTAAGGAGGGATCCTTTGTTAGGCTTGAGTATGGTGGTGGTGGATTATTTTATGTATTCTCTCCCTTCCAGAGTATAAATTAAATGTCTCCCATCTACAGATGCATGGACCTTTTGCAGCCTCCAAACCCAGCACCTTGCTCTGTGTTGTTCAGCTGTTCTCCTTCTGCATGACTTTCTGGCATAGCTCTGCTCATATAGAATACCATTTCCACAGACACATCTAAATCCTGGCTCCTTGCAGAATCAACAACATTGAAGTTTAGAAATCATAAAAAGCACAGAGCAGATATAGACTCATAGACTCATAGA